GGGTCCGGGGCCGCCCGTGGCGCTCTGCGCTCATTTCTCCTGAGCCAGGTAAAAGCCCCACGACAAAACCTTTTTCTAGCCTCAGCCTGCTCTGCCCAGGAGGGACTGCTGAGAAATAAAAAGAAAAAAAGTAAAATAAACAATGTCTGATTCGAAATCTCCCTTGGTATGGCCAGTGTGAAAGGGATGAGGGGGCAGAAGTGACACAAAGCAACCAAATTGACGGTTTTATTAGCGGGTTGTGCCTTGTGCCGTTGTAGCTGATGGGCAGTGACCAATGTCTGTTCAATTCATGGTTATACTGAAGGCCTGGAAGTCAAAAATAAACACCCAGTTCACGGTAAAAACAAAGACTGATTTAAACAGGCGGCGATTTTGCGCACTCCGAGCTAGAAAAGGGTAGAATTTTCGAACTTCCTCAGCATTTGAAGAAAACGCCTCAAATTGTCCCTTTTTCTGCAAAGTGCCCGGTTTGCCTGAAAAGTTCAGCTTTTTTGCTTTCCTGTGCAGTTAAATCCGAAAACTGTCACGCAGTGAGAACACTATCAAGTTCAGATATCGGACTCTCCGGGCCGGCACGGGCCGTGCCTCTCCGCGGCCCGTTCTCTTTAGGCCCTTTAGGGCCCATCATGACTTGCGTGTGGGGAGCGCGGTCGGGGCAGGGTCGCCCGGGCGGCAAACATGCCGGAAAATCGTCGATTGTGTGGTCCTCTAGGAGGTCCTCCGGGGCCGCTGACTGGAAATAAAAAAATGAAGCATCAAGTTGTAGTCCTTGTAGTCGCAAATGCGGCGTGAAGTCGCCTCTGTGAGAAGGCGAGATGCCGTTGCTTTTGATGTCGTAGAGTCCTGTCCCATGATTCATGGCTAATCCTTAAACAAGTGTAGATGTGCTGGTCGGGGTGTATGTTTTACAGTTCCTTGTCGATTGAGTTGCTTGTACAAGATTGCTTGTAGATTCTGTTGTACTTTGCTGTCTGCAATATCGTCGCGCTCTTGTTCGAGCTGCGCGGTGGTGGTCTCCGAGACCCTCTCCGCGCCCTGCCTGCGTCCAGCGGCAGTGCGGTGCGGCGCCCGCCGCGCGCAAGTCTATGGTATTTTCATCGAGACCCGTCGTCGTCGTCGCGCCGGCGGTCGGCCCCGATTCACTCGGACCGTATAAGCTCTGAATAATTAATTATTCTATCAAGGGAGGCCGAGGGAGGGTCCCCCACTCTCCCCCTCCTCCCCTCCCCTTGTACATACCTCCCCCTGGATCACCTGCTGCCTGTAATGACGACCCCTCTGCATGAATGGGAACCTCATTCCTCAACTACTTACACTTACACCCCCCAGTGATCCGCCGCCTGTGCACCCAGAAAAAAGATTTCTTAGACCAAGCCAAATTGGCTTGAAATAAGAAAATTTCCACCTCGGCTGAACCAAACCCAAAAAAGCGTCCGACCAAGAAAAACCTAGACTTCATTTACTTGGATTGGATCAAAACGAACACTGCTTGATTCAAGGCAAATTTATATTGCAAGCCAAGAATAAAAATTCTCATTTCAAGAAATTCGGCTTGATTCTGGCATATATTATTTCTAACCAAATATTTACGCTGTTCGTTTGGGAGACAGAGCTGCGCTTGGTTATCCCCAGATTTTTTCCTAGAATACTTAGGCATTGGCAAGGCATTCTTAATCCAAGAATATTTTCTTGGTTTACGCAAGAATGCTATCGGCTTGTTCTCATACGGTGCGCAGAGCAACACGAGAGTCAAAAAGTCAGTAGGGGGCCGACCGGACTCGAACCCACGCCCCGTCAGTCTGAGCCAGCGCCTCAGCCCACTGAGCTATCGCTTCGACTACGGAGCGCGCCAGTCCAGCGCACTGTTGGTAGTAGCAGCTGGACTGTATCCGAATCATCCGAATCAGGTCGGTAGAGAGCGGCGGTCCCGTCACCTGTCGTGGTAGCTCAGTGGTCTCTGTGCCTGGCGGCTGGATAGTGAGCCGGGTCCGGCAGGGGTTCGATCCCAGGCCGGAGCGCAACCAGTTTCTCCAAATCAGTGCCTCTGTAGTTGTGAACGGCCTAAAAGGGGATGGACTAAGTTTCTGGAAACTTGGGAAAGAGAGACAACTGAGTTACCGTTTTGTCAGAAAATATAATTCCCGATAATTCCACAACGCCTAGGCAAGTGATCGAGAGAGATGGATCGGAGGAGTCCGATCCAGGTCGGGTCCCAGCCGAAGCAGCCGAAGCGATCCTGAGAACGTGCACCACGTACACGAACACGGCGGGTGGGAAAACGTGGGTTTGGCTTCAACCAAGACTAGCCGATGCTTGCGGTACGCCTAGCTTGAATCTAGACAGAGATTCTTGTTGTGAGCTAAAAACGTCTTGATTCAAACTGTACACAATTCAAGCACTCGGCTAGGATTAATTCAAGAATTCATTTTTCTGGGTGTGAGAGTGTTACGAGGAGGAATTTTAATTTTCCAGAAAAATATTTTTTGGAATTTTTTTAAGAATTTTAAAAAAATCTGTTTTTTTTTCTGGAAATATTTTGTGTTATTTTTTTTTTATTTTTCTGGTTAAGTTTGCAAATTATTTTTTTTCTGGCAAAATTTCGGTTTGTTGAAACTCCTAGTTAGGAGTTCGGACGCACATCGCGGACTGCATAGCCCGTCGTGTTGGTGGAGCATGTGGAGGCGGAGGAGTCTGCAGACGCCGGGTAGGGCCCCGGGGGCCCCGCTCGGGGTCCGAGGAGCAACGTCGAAACCCGTAATGGGGGTCGGCACGGCGGGCACCACGGCCCCGAGGGGGAGGGAGGGGGGGGTCCTGGAATGCGCACCGACGTCTCGACGGACGGACTGGCGTCCCGACGGCCAAGTGTGTGAATGTCGCACACGTGTAGGTGTGTGAATTAACAGAGGAATGAAATGTAGTTTGAAAGATGCTAGTGTGAGGAAAATTCATACTTTAACGGGCTCAAGCGTGCGAATGAGAGTTTCACACACCTCCAAGTGTTGATGTTTTTAGTGTGCCGGCCAGAGGTTTGCGCTCGTTTACAACTACAACACCTCGGGGCAGACGGCAGACACGGCTAGGGCACATAGAGACACGACCGCCGCTTGCCGCTTCGGCCGCGTTCGGGGTCAGCTTCGGGGGCGGCGACCATTCCGGACCATACTTCGGCCGGCTTGGCCCCGGTGCCGCCGGGCGGGGCCCGGAAAGGCAGGTGGATCGTGCGAGGTCTCGTCTTCGCCTGCCCTTACCAAGGCAGTGAACAGCAGTCGACGCGTGCTAGTCGCACAGGTAGGTAGGATTCATCCGTGCGTGCAGTCGGGGTGGCGATAGTTCTAGGAGCCGTGAGTGCAGAGCATCTTTAGTGTTCAAGTGGTACGTACGTAAGCAGTTACAAGTTAAGAGGGGTGGGTGAAAAAATTACGAATTTGAAAATAAATTACGAACTATCGGACAATGGGAGGGGGAGAGTCAGTCTGGGTCGATAA